TTAAAGCACGTGATGTGCACGTGTGAGATGTGAGCTAACATAACTGACTAGTATATAACTGTGTATCATAGTTAAAGCACGTGATGTGCACTTGTGAGATGTGAGCTAACATAACTGACTAGTATATAACTGTGTATCAGCTCTCATTTCTGCCATTGAGAAATATAGGACACTCCCTCAATTTCCTCTTCTCTTCTTCTTCCTCTCTCTAAGAATTAGGTCAAATTCTCAATTGCATCCCTCAATTTGACATGGTATCCGAGCCAATGCTTTGACAACGATCTCTGCGCTGTGTAATTTCGTGAGTTGCAGAAGAATACGAAGCTCCGATCTCTGCAACAATGACAGGAAATGAGGTTACCTCACTAAACCACAATCACCCACTGTATCTTCAAGATGGAGATGCGCCTGGACTAGTCTCAATCCCTCTCACGCTCACACAGCCAGATAATTACGTGTTGTGGAGTAGAGCGACAAAATGGCTCTTCGAGGAAAAAACAAATTAGGTTTTGTGGATGGAACCTATGTCAAAAGCATGTATAGAGGAGAATTAGCAGAACATTAGGAGAAGTGCAACGCAATTGCTCTGTCGTGGATAGGAAATACAACCGCGAATGAATTAATGCCCAGTATCGTGTTTGCATCTAATGCTAATAAGGAATGAAGTGAATTTCAGGAGCGATTTGATAGATCAAATTTGACTAGAATATATCATTTGTGGACTAAAATTGCCACTTTAAGGCAAAGTACTGATTCAGTCACCTCATATTACTCTAAAATGAAGGATTTTTGGGATGAGTTAAATGTTTTAGCTCCCTTACCTTCATGGAATGAGTTAGATGTCTTTGCCTTATGTTGTGCATTTAAGATCACAACGGTTGTTGCAGTTCTTTATGGGACTTAATGAGTCCTACAGTAATCTGAGAAGTAATCTACTAGCAAGGAGACCTATAATGTTAGTGAATGAATCATATGCAACAATATCTCAGGAGGAAAGTCAAAGGTCCCTAGGTGTAGTTGATATGAACAGGGATCCACTAACAATGTTAGTAGGAAGAACACACCAAGGTTTTAAGCCCAAAAATCCCAGCATAATCTGTGAACATTGTGGATATAAGGGGCACTTGAAGGAAAATTGTTGGCTACCCACAGGACTTTAAGAGCAAGAAAAAGAACACATAACTGATGGATTAAGACCTTTTGCCAATTCTACAGTAGCACGAGAAAATGTGAATCCATTAGAGGCACAAGGACAAGGTCATTTCTTCCGAACAACAATACAAGCAGATCCTGAGTATGCTGGATAAGCCAACATCAAATGATTGTGCAAACAACATAACAGGTAACATGACAGGTATGCCTTACTATTATCCAACAATTTTGCATGTGAATGGATAATAGACGCAGGGGAATCACATCATATTACACCATATAAGGAGTTGTTGACTACCTTTAGAACACTAAGAGATCAAAATACAGTACAGTTCAGGTGCCTATTGGTGGTAGAGCAGAAGATCACACGTGTAGGAGATGCAGTGATCTTAGGAAGCTATAAGCTTGAGAATGTTTAACATGTTCCAGATTTCAAGTTCAATCTTTTTTCAGTGTCCAAGATAATCGAATAACTTTCTTGTGTGGGTTTGTTTTTTCCTGATTTCTATGTATTCTAGGGACTCTTCAAGGGGAAAGTTCTGGGGATTGGTAAGGAAAGAAAGATTGTACATATTACAAGAAGCAATAAAACATGCAGTAGGAGCAACAGTTCATATGGAGGACAACAGTGGAAAGATATGGCATTAGAGACTGGGCATCCCTCTATTGGAGCAATGCAGCACATTGCAGACTTCAAAAATAAAGTAGATGTTGGAATTCTAGAATGCTGTGAGATTTATCCCTTGGCAAAACAAAACAGACTAAAATTTCCTAGTAGCAATAGCAGATCAAGTAGTCATTTCTATTTGGTGCACTTAGATGTATGGGGTGGTCTATATAGAAAATGAACATATGATAAAATGTACTATTTTGTTATTATAGTGGATGATCATAGAAGATACACTTGAGTATGACTAGTTCAATCTAAATGTGAAGTGTTTGCAGTGTTGAAGAACTTCTTTGCTCTAATAAAGAATCAATTTGACAAGAACATCAAGATTCTTAGATCTGACAATGGTAGTGAGTTTTTATTAACTCAAAATGCAATGAATTCCTAGCTTCCTATGGTGAAATTCATCAAAGTAGTTGTTCACACACTCCACAACAAAATGATATTGTAGAGAGAAATCATAGATATATACTAGAAGTAGCAAGAGCATTGAGTTTTCAGAGTTTAATGCCTATAAAATTCTGGGGAGATTGTACTAGAATTTCTATGTACTTGATCAACAGACTACCATCAACAGTGCTGCAAGGAAAAACACCATTTGAGTTGTTTCATGGTAAGACACCTCGCCTATCTCATCTTAAAGTGTTTGGATACCTTCGCTATGCAAGTAGGTTACCTAGAGGTGATAAATTATATGATCTTGAAGACCATAAGTTCTTTTTTAGAAGGGATGTTTAGTGGAAGGAACCACTATTTCCTTTTAGAACTGAAACACAAGAGGAATTAGGTGATATTTTTCTGTTTAAAGAGACAGTGAATATAGGAATAGCCAGGCACATGCAGAAGATTCTAATGATGAATATCCTGCAAAGGAGGAACTAACACCTAAAACTAAAAATTAACAACACCAGACGCAATGCCAGAGGTGGAAAATTCAGTTATTAATTCACAAAATCTCACTGATGCAACACCTAATGTAGGAGAAACAGTGGATCAACATCAAACAAATGAAGCTCATACAGTTGCAGAACCTGATCATGTCACGATCTAACCAGTTGAGTTAACAGTAGAAGGAGATCAACACAATGAGCTACATGATCATATTCAAGCAGACTCACATGAAAGACCAAGCAGAACAACCAGACCTCCAATTTGGCTCAGTGGCAATGTCACTTCTGTCAAGCCAAAGGCTCATTATTCCTATCCTATATCCCAATATGTGACCTACACTCATCTCAATCCCACCTACCAAGCCTACCTGGGTTCTTTCTCTGTGCCGATATAGCCTAAATCATTCAAGGAGCATTTAAATACCACAATGGATTTAAGCAATGCAACATGAAGTTGATGCATTAGAAGGGAAAAAAACTTAGGAATTAGCTCCACTACCTGCTGGAAAGAGGGCTATAGGCTCAAAGTAGGTATACAAAACAAAGTATAAGGCCAATGGGGAGATATGAAAGTACAAGGCTTATTTGGTGGCAAAGAGATACACACAAAAGGAAGGACTGGAATACCATAAAACCTTCTCCTCAGTTGCAAAAATGGTTACAATTAGAACAATCATTGGTGTGGTAGCTTTAAAAAACTGGTTTTTGTACCAAATGTATATAAACAATGTTTTACTTCAAAGAGATTTATATGAAGAAATCTATACGGATTTACCTCAAGGTTTTCATAGACAGGGGAGTATAGGGTATGCAAACTTTTGAAGTCTCTGTATGGACTCAAACAAGCATTGAGGCAATGGAATATCAAGCTAACTAGTGTTCGATTAGAAGCTAGGTACTGTCTAAGTCCTCCTGATCATTCTCTATTCACTAAACAGAGAGAAGGGTGTATTCTGATCATTTTAGTCTATATTAATGACCTGCTTATTATTGGGAGTGACAAGGACCTCATTGATGAGGCAAATCAGACCTTACACAACAATTTCAAGGTCAAGGATCTTGGAGAACTCAAGTATTTCTTGGGTATTGAAGTCTTGAGATCAAAGGAAGGGATACTTCTCAATCAGGGGAAGTATGCGTTAGAACTAGTTTCTGATGTTGGACTCAATGGTGCAAAGCCAGCCACAACACCACTTGAAGCCAATACTTGACTAACCACTATTGAATTTGACAAATTAACAGGTGACACAAATGATCCTCTGCTAGAAGACATATGTAGTTATAAAAAGTTTGTTGGAAAACTGAATCATACGCCCAAAAACTGAAGTGTAACAACCCAACCAACTAGTGATATTGTCCGCTTTGGGCCGATGCCTTCACGGGTTTAAAACGCGTCACTAGGGTTTAAGGCTTGTTAACTTATATACCCAGCATCCCTTTTGTGCTTTGCCGATGTGGGATTCTGTCTAAAGTCTAAGGTGTTTCATACACCCCCTCAACATTGAGGTTTGCCCCGCCTAACCAGGATTTGCCTAAACTTAATTGAACTCTGACCCACCATCGGCATGGCTGACACAAGTATGGCTCTGATACCATTTGTAATAGCCCAGCCCGCTAGTGATGTTGTCCACTCTGGGCTTAGGCCCTCACGGGTTTAAAACGTGTCACTAGGGTCTAAGGCTTGTTAACTTATATACCCAACATCTCTCTTGTATTTTACCGATGTGGGATTCTGTCTAAAGTCTAAGGTGTTACATAAGAACCACTCTTGTGTTAGCCATGCCGATAGTGGGTCAGAGTTCAACTGAGTTTATGCAAATTCTGGTTAGGCGAGGCAAACCTTAGTGCTAAGTCTAGGCAAATCCTATGCAGTGGGGGCAAACCTTAGCGAGGACACTGAGTCCATAAGAGGGGGTGTATGTAACACCTTAGACTTTAGACAAAATCCCGCATCTGCAAAACTCAAGAGGGATGCTAGATATATAAGTTAACAAGTCTTAAACCCTAGTGACGCATTTTAAACCCGTGAAGGCCTAGGTCCAAAGCGGATAATATCACTAGCGGGCTGGGCTATTACAATTGTATCAGAACGTCAGGTTTATGGAGTCCTAGGGGTCTATGAAGTCGTATTAGTAGAGTCTTGTTTATGAGTATGAAGCACACCATACTTATAAAAAGGAGGCAACAAGCATTTAGGAAAAGTTTCATTTTTTCATACTTTAGATCGTGCAGTAGATCCTACCTCTAAGAAACTATCTAATGCATTAGTTTCTTTAAAACTCGCAGAAATGGCCCATACTCATAACTCTGACACCGACACTCAGGATGCTGCTCAAGAAATTATTGCTACTATTGTTGCTCAAGGTAGAACTAAGAAGGCTTCAACTCAGAAAAGGAAGGGTAAATCCACAAAGGTGGTTCAAGTACCCCGGGTTGAGCATGAAGAAGGGGTGGAACATGATGATCCAGTACCTCAGGATCTAGTGCCGCCCCCAACAGCAGTTCCGGCTCAGACAGCTATATCTCTAGAGGTGGGTCAGATGTTTAATGTTGCCAACAGTGCTATGGAGATGTTTAAAGCCTTCATGGCCAACCAGAACGAGTGAAGAGATGTGATTCCACCTCAACCAAATAGACAGAACAATTCTGAGTCCTCAAGAGTGAATGAATTTTTAAAGTTGAGTCCTCTATTGTTCCATAGTTCTATAGCTGATGAAGTTCCAATGATGTGGCTAGAGGGTGTCAAGAAAGCCCTCCGAGCGATGAAGGCATTTAATGATGAAGCTGTGGAGCTGGCTACTTACCAGCTTAGAGATCTGGCTGGTGCTTGGTTTGAGATGTGGGAAAAGGAAAGAGATGAAGATGATGGTCCGCCTACTTGGGAAGAATTTGAAGAGGCCTTCATGGCTAACTTTATCTCAGAAGAGGATAGAGAAGCTAAGTCTATAAAGTTAGAACAGCTCAAGAAAGGGAATAAAAATATGCAAGAGTACTACATGGAATTCATAAGGTTAGCTAAGCATACTCCTTACATGGTTAAGACTGAAAAAGCAAAGATTCGCAGGTTTATTGGCATTTTGGCTTACCACATTAAGGAAATGATATCAGCTTCAGCGGTAGGAATGATAGCTTTCTCCTCTGTTGCGGGATTCACCAAGCATTTAGAAAAAGACAGACAACAAATGAGAGAAGAAAAAGAGCAAAACAAGAAAGCCCGGACAGCGGACATGTTTAATGGTACATCCAGTGGAGGTGGAAGGGGTTCCTTCAATAAGGAGTCATTATCACCAGCTCTGTCCATTCATCAGTCAGGTGGTGGGTCTTCCTTCAGACGTACTCAAAGTTAGGGAAACCAGTCTCGCCAAAATCAGAATTTTAAGACATCATCCTCACATAGCTAGAGTCATGCTACGCAACAATCACAACAATAAGGTATTTATGGAACATGTAAGCGACAACATTCAGGTCAATGCAAGCTCGGGTTTCATGGTTGCTATCATTGTGGAGATATTAATCATATAAAGGCCAACTGCCCAAAGTTGCGACGTAATTTCAGTGGTGTATCAACTCGTCCTTCTAGTTCCTCAGCTACTACAGTTGCACCACCATAGACTCGTGGTTCTCATAATTAGGTCGAATATGGAGCAGGCAGATGTGCAGATCGAGTTACTCAAGGAGGGGGACAACCTCGTTGGTTTGCTACACTTGATCGTCAGAGTGAAGAGACATCTACAGAAGTTATTACAGGTGTACTTCTAGTCTTCTCACATAATGTTTATGCCATAATGGATCCAGGTGTCACACCTCCTTTTTACACCCCGAGAGGGTATAAATGTAAGGGAGTTTTTCCAATTAAAGGACACTCGAAACGGAATTAATTATTTAAAATTCAGAGTCGCCACTTGGGATAATTTATGGTGTCCCAAGTCACCGGTTTAAATCCCGAATCGAGGAAAAGATTGACTCTGTACTACAGTTCGCGAACACAGAAATCCGGGTAAGGAATTCTGTTAACTCGGGAGAAAGTGTTAGGCACTCCCGAGTTCCATGGTTCTAGCACGGTCGCTTTGATTATACTTGGCTTATTAAAATTATTTAATTACTCATTTTAAAAGCTATGTGCTTTTACCTCATTTAATTAAGAAAACGTCTTGAAACAAGTCACGCGTATGTGCACCCGTTTGTTTGGCGTGTCAAAAATCATGTCACGCGAACGTGTCCATAATTAATAATGCTTTATTATTATTAAGGATATTTGGTCGAAGTTGCGCGAACGCATACTCCGGTTTTGTTTTTAGAAAATCGTAACCATGTCATGCGAACGTATCCACAACCACGATAGTATATTAAACGTGACAAAAGTAAACTACAAACCATTGTCATTTTTATATCTAGGTTATGAAATTAACGTGAAGACCACGTATGATTAAATTGTGGATGGCACACCTCGGGCTATATGAACTAAACTTAATTTAACGGCCTAATAGCAACACTTTTATATTAAGAAGGTTTGATCGAAGTTGCGCGAATGCATACTCCGAACTGAGTTTTAGAATCGTGATTATGTTACGCGGACGTATACACAATCACGGTGGTATATTAAATGGGCCTAAAGCAAATTACAAACATTTGTCAATTTTTATGTCTAAATTAATACGAAGGCCATGTAATTCTCATTTTGTTTGGCACGGCACACCTCGAATCATTTTATTTAAAAGGTTTTAAACTAACACATGAGGGCCGCGAACTACTTGTATCATATAATATGGCTCACCCCAATCATTTCCAAGGATCTTACTAATTGACTAAAGCCGCAAGGAATTTATAACTGATTTCAAGCTGTGGTCTAAGCGAAAATTAATAATCATCAAAGTTGACAAACAAGCTGTGAACTCGATGTCCAAATGCGAAACGAGAGGACAAGCCTAGATCATAGTCGGGCCTGCTTGCGAGGCCCCAATTCGAAAGTCTACCGGTTAAAAAAAAATCCGGCACAAATGGGCTAATGCTGATAGCCCAGATGAAGGCCTCAGTACCAACATACACGGTGTTTATGAGTATTTCTGACTCCGGCCCAACCATTAATGAATTTAAAACACACTTGCAATATCATTTGATTGTCAACATATATTCTCGGATTAAAACAAAACCCCTTCATGCACTAATAAACCTTTGCACAAATTATCTGTCACTTAGCATTACAGCAGAAAAATCATAATTCAAATTCAAACTTAGAATTACATCTATCACTTGTTTCTTTGTAGAAACAAGTGCTTGCTTTTAATTTAAAAGGCAGAACAATGGCCTGGACAGTCACTAGGGATTACTTTATGCATTTCTGGGCAATTCTATTAAACTAGCTACTTCATGTTAATGTGACAACAATGCAACCATCCATACTCATAGGAAATAACTCAATACCAACTAAAGTTAACAAGTGTAAATAAGAGTCCTAAATACAGATCTTAAAGTGAATTTCAAATGTTCATGGCATATCATTATTTAACGTACCAAAGCAGACAACATAAATGGACAAATCAAGTAAAACAAAACAGAGGGGAAACATCTATCAAGCATGGAACTCTTCATTTCTTCAAAACATATGAACCCTTCTTACATGTCTAGAATCAGAAATGTGTACCTGGAAATCAAGAAGGAAACAAGGGGAATAAGGAGTCAATAACAACAGCAGTAGGTTAGCCCAGATCAGCAAGGAAGAGGTATCAAACAGTAATCAAACCCAGCCTCATATGAATCAAAAATGACTTCAGAAAAATCAACCTCGAGCATCAGAACAGAACAGAAATCAATGGAACAGTCAATTTCTATGACATTTCAGCAGCTTTTTATTTTCTGTACTCTCAATCTTTTCTAATCCCCTATGAAACAGCAGATTTTTTTTGCAGTTTTTCTATATTTCCTGGATTTCAGCTCTCAGAAATCTCTCTGCCTTCAAAGGCAAGAAAAGCTGCCTTTATAAGCAAGGCACTAGGGCAGCTAAAGGAGGATCAGATTTGCACCTAGACCCTTTTCATATTTTTGTTTTTGCTCAAAAGCCCTTAGTTTAAAATATCAGATTTCAAATAAGCCCCCACCCCACTTTCCTAGAAGTTTCTGAATTCTGTTACTCAAGATTCCCTTCCCCAATTCCCTAGACTACCCCTCGAACCCTGATTATTTACCCTCCTAGCCTAGCAGAACCCGAGTTCAAATGACCCAAGTGAATGGGTCTGAACTAGACCCAATTCAAGTCCTTCCTGGGATATGAACCCAATTAATGTGAAGAAAACCCAAAACCCACACGTTCAGATTCAGAAACCTAAATGACTCGGCACAAAATTAAGCCCAAAACAAAAATGAAAATTCCAACTATATGTACTTGAAGACAAGACCAACCTGATAATCAAACACAACTTGAACCTAACATGCAGACATAGGCAGTATAACAAAATGAGAAATTCAAATCAGAAACTAAAAAAAAGAGTAGAAGAAGGCAAGAAGATAGAAAAAAAGAGATAAGTTAAATAACGAAAGGTAAAGAAGAACAAAATACCTAAAAACCACTCGAACCAGTAAAGAATGGTGGCGAATCTTTAAGTCTTCAAATTTCGGCTCAGTTTGAGATTAATCGTGTGTTCTTTATCAAAAACACGCGAGTAAAGTCAAAAGGGACCTAAAATCTTTAATGGAATCCTGATTCGGAAATCTTGGGATTTTAGGTTTCACTTTCTGATCTAATATTCGAAAGGATCGGGCGATATTCGAGGGAAACTGACCCGAGATTTGGGAGGAGGGGGTCGTGGAGGTCATGGGGTGTTATTTTGGGAGTGGTTGGAGGTGGCGCCGCCGGTTGAGGCGGTGGAAAAATAGGGCGACGGATTAGGGTTTGGAGCTTCTGAGCCAGATTCGAGAAATTCAGGCGTGATTCGAGGGAAAAGGGGTGTGGATTTAGAATGAGGAGAAGGAGAGGGAGATAGGGTGTAAATTTGGTGGCCATCAGAGACTTACCACTGCCGTGGGCAATTTCCGGCGGCGGTGCACGGTGGGGTTACGTTGGGGTCTTTAAGAGTGTTGGAAATGACGAGCGA